CTTGGTTGAAAACCATCGCCCTATTTCGTATTAAGGTACGGTCTAAGTCTTGTATATTGGTTAAGACCTTTTTCTCTTTTATCCGATTAAAATCAATCCCCTATTTTGTATTGAGGTACGGTCTAGGTCTCACTATTTGATTGAAACCCTCTTTTCTCGTTATCATGTGAGTGTGTTTGGATTGTATCCTTTTGTTATGATTCATTTGCATGCTTGTCTCACCATATATTACATATTGCATTGCATAAATCATGCATTTTCAAAAAAAAAAAAAAAAAAATCTCAACTTTCAATTGTATTATCATATCATTTGCATGGTTACAACTATCACATTGTTGCATAACTTGGCTACAATCTCTTCACATCAACATTTGATTTTTGAAACCTTTTTCATTAGTTAATATTGGCCTCTCTTCGGGATGACGATACTATCCCTTTCTCGGGTTGTCGGTTCAAACCACCATCAGTTAATACCTCCATTGTTTTGGATTGTAGGTTAAAACTATTCATTAATTATAGTTACTTCCCTTATGTGAGTGTGTTTGGATTGTATCTCTTGTTATGCTTCATATCATTTGCATGAGGCTTGCCTCGCATATTACCTGTTGCATTGCATTGCATTGCATTGCATTGATCATAAACTTTCAAAAAGAAACAAACGACTTCGTGAAATGTGTAAATCCAACTTTCAATTAAATTTTTGAGCATATCATTTGCATGTTGCCCCTGAACTACACTGGTTTGATTCCTTACAAAGGAATACGTAGGCAACTCTCGGGTTAAACCCATTGCATTTGCATCTTGTTTGTTTGAATAAGTCTTACGGCTTTTTCAAAAGGGTTGTCATCGAGCTTTGACATTCGCTCACGTCATGAAATGACTTCGAGCTCTGTCAAAGAGAGGCAACTGTAGACACTCCATTTTGACCGGCCTTAAGATTTGGGCGCTTTCTTTTGATTACCCGATGATGACAATCAGAATGTGTTTATCACAGGATTCTCAGTAAGAGAGATGGAATTTGAGCTTTAATCTTAACCTTCACACATTTTTGGCCAAATTATTTTTCATCCAAAATTCACCAATCTCCACTACTAAACGAATCTTGGCTCTTTAATCTCCACTACCAAATTTCCTACACATCAATCCCCACTCACCATCCGCTTTCATAATCACACCCCACCATCCCCACTCATTATCCATTTTCCTAATCATACCCCACCATCCCCACTCACCATCTACTTTCCTAAGCACATGCCACCATCACCACTTACCATCCACCTCCATTATATATTGTCTCCCATTAGCTCCATTAGTGCCCCATTAGCTTTATTATCTTTCCTAAATGCTCCACTTTGTCCTCTACCATTGCCCACTTGCATTGCCTATATAATGAGAGGTCGAGTCTTAAGTTTGAGGAGATGAATTAGAAGAGAAATGTTGAGTGAATGCTAAATTTGACTTAGAATTTAAGACAAAAGAAAGCCTTGAAAACAAGAGAGTTGTCTTGCCAAAATAGTAAAGTTACCAAGCCTTTATGCATCTCATCTTCCTTTGCAAAAACCACTCAAGAACCAAGTCCTAAAGCCTTGATCAAAGAGAGAGTAATCTTGTGAAGTTGAAGCAGTTAAAGAGTGATCATACATTTGTTCAAAACCATTATTCTGAGTTCAAATTCCAAGCTCTTGAATTGAGGATTAAGAACATAATTCACACAAACTTGAGGGCGATCAAGAGAAAGTTTGGAAATCTCTATTCACTATTTCTTTGGAAGGTGAATTTTCAATTATTTCATTTCTATTTCAAATTCATTTTCCTGTTTTTGTCTCATATTGTTTTGTTGTAAAATAATTAAGTTTCAATTCCTTCACTTTCTTGCAACTTTCTATCTTTATTTGTTTTCTTACTTTAGTTTCATATTAGTTTTGTTGTAATCTAACCGGAAGTGGTTAGTTGAGCCGCCTACATATTCCTTATTTGTTCATTTTCTTGGTGTTGCAACAAGACATGTTTTGCTAGGCCTAGTTGGCCATCTGGCGGGTTAGCTTCTTTTGGACAAAATGGAGTAACCTTTCGGCATTGAGCATATTAGTTTCAGGCAATCCTCAGGACACATGAAGCTTCTATGTTGTTTTTATTTTTTTTATTTGAGTGTTTTCTGAGGTTTTTTTATTTTGTTGTAATATTTTTCTCCTCCCGCTCTAATTTGGTTTGTAATTATTCTTTTAAATATTGTAATAATTCCCCACCCACTTTTTTCTGTCCCATTCTTTTACTTGATTTCCTTATTTGTACATAAGCATCATATTTTGTTTTTAATCCTATCCATGCTTTGCATCCATGCTTCATGCATCTTGATTCGGCTAAGTTTGCATTTGTGTATTTAATCAATTCCTATGTGATTATGTGCGCTACCTCTTGTTCTTGAGATGATTCACATGTTATCTATTAGAAGTCGAATCTTTAGTTGTATCTCATGCATGAATTGCATTAGGACTTTGTATATAAGATCATGCATATTTCGCTAACTTTGTTTTGTAGCTGTTCGTAGGACGTTGGTAAACAAGTAAGTTTTTACGCTTTACCATCCTGCTTGTGTATGTTTTTCTTACTATGTTTAGCATTCTACCATGAGGCTATGTGCTTACTTGATATAACTATATGAATGCCGGTGGATGGAGATTGTGTAGCTTAATTTGAAATGATGTTGATTTTTCATGATTGTAAACTCAATTTCTTTAGGTTATATATCTTCAAAACTCTTTCAAAACACATGAAATCACTTTGTTCAAAAATGAATGACATAGTCTATACTTGTATGCTTCACATAGTAATTTTTAAGATTTATTAAATAATTACAATATGGACGTATAAAGTTAATAAAATTCATATCATGGTTAGTAGAGGTCAATCTTTGATCGGGTGAGCAGAGGTGCTCAATTAATGACCTTTCCCTCTTATACCTAAGGTTCCAAGCCAAGCATCTTTGGTTACGACGAACAGTGGCCTTGGTACGAGTCACGGGTGTAGACACCCCATTTCGACCGCCCTTAAGATTTGAGCGCTTCACTCTGAACACTCGATGATGAAATGTTACGCTGTGCAATCGTTCAAAATCTTCAACAAAAAGATTCAGTTTTAAGCTTTAAAACCTAAACCTTGCACCCCCTTTGGACCAAAACTTTATTTTTTTTCTAGCCTGACCACTTAGAGAACAGCTGGCCAGTGGATGGCTGGCAGGCCATTCTCTTTGGGCCAGCCGTACATCCTCATAGCCGGCAGGCTGACCATGTTCAGTGTAGCAGATATTTTGACAGTTGCCAGCTACTCCCATGCACATGCTTTGGACTAGAAGTCTTCTTTACATATATCTCCGATATGAGGAGCTGTTTTTCTATAAATACAACACCACCTTCATGGTTTGGGGTTAGAAAAATTCTCCAAGAACCTATAGCTTGCCCAACCATCTTCTCTACCCTCTTGCAATATAGATACACAATACACACACCTTATAAGCAAGGTTTTAAAAATCGGATCGGTGAGTGAATCGGAAAAAGGATTGGGTGGACGGGTCATTGGTTCAGTAGTTGGGTTGAATTGGATCGAACCGTGACGTCATAATTATGTCATAAATAATTTTCTAAATAATATAAATTAGCAGTATAAATATTAAATTTTCAATTTTTTTTTTTAAAATTCTTAAATATTTTTAGTGATGTTTTTCTATATTTAAAAAAAAATCCTAAGTATAAATAAGTCATAACACTTCACATACTAACAACAAATAAAATTAAAGATGAAAATTTAGCTGTTAAAAATAACAATCATAGTAATAAAAATTATGAAAGCATCCAACTAAAGCAATCCATAAAACATAAGTTACAAAAAAGACAAAACTACGTCCAAACATAAGTTACAACACAACATCACAAGCAATCTTTGATTTTTGCCTAAGTCTTCTAGATAATTTAGCCAATCATCATCATCATTCTCATTCGCATTTGCACTAGAGCTTGGGTTGTTTGATCTATTATCAATGTTCACATCACCAAAAGATCCCAAGTTGATATCATCTCTAAGAAGCTCTACCTCCATATCATCCTCAATATCATCTACAATAGTTAACATAAAATCATTAAGCTATCATTTTGATAATGATAGATAAAAAAAAAATTTGTTGCATAATGATGAAACATTATTTTTTAACCATCTCGTAGACCATGACATTGCTTCTTATATCGTGAAGGCTCATCTTCCTCATAATGCATTTTTTCGAGCTCATCATAATCAATCAATAGAGGCTCCTCTTGTTCTAGTCTTTCTTCTTCAATAATCCAAAACTCGGTTTTGTCAATGCTCATAATTCCTTGTTTTGTAATACCTCTTCTATTGACTCAATTGTAAGACTAAATAAATGAATAAAATAAAGAATCCATTAGTTATTACATGAGAAAGATTAATTTACCTATTCTTCAATCGCAAGTTGTAATGAACATACACAAGATCATTAAGCCCATCATGTTCTTATCTATTCCTCTTCTTTGTATGTATGGGTTCAAAGACGCTCCAATTTCTTTCACACCCAGAAGAGGTGCTAGTTTGACTAAGAATTTGAATGGCCAACTTTTGCAAATTTGGAGCACTGTGTCCAAACATCTTCCACCATTCATCTTATTATCAAGAAAGAAAGAGAGATATTATAAAATAAAAATAAAAAAGAAACAAGAAATAGTAAATGAGATAAAATATTACAATCAAAAGCAAATAATAATGATAATTACTATTTTTAAAAAAAAGAAGAGATTACCAGGTTGTGTTTTCTTAGATGTAGTAATGGCAAGCTCTCTTCCAAGACTGTCTTGTCGATCTTGAAACAATCTAAGTTCATTCATGAGCTTCATTTTACTTGATGTGACTTTAGTTTCAATCACATCAAGTACACTATTCATAACCTCTGACTTTTTGCAAAATGAAGCTTGATCACATTGAAAAGCTAGGTTCAACTAATAAGCTGCTGCATGTATATTCTTCTGCAATTGATTATCCCAACGAGTTTTAATGATTGTTGTGTAAGGCCTATACAACCTCTTATTTCTCTTGAAAATATCTTTAATACCTTTGATTGCCCTATAAATCCCTTCATAAACATATCCCATGGACAGCTTCTTATCTCCATCATCAATACGCAAGAGACACATAAGTGGCTCAACAATCTTAATAGTGATGAAGCAATCCTTCCAAAATTGTTTATCTAAATGATATCAATGGCATCCTTTCCTTCTTCTCTTTGGCAAACCTTGAACTTGCAAACTCCTTACTTGTCACCAAAGCTTGTAAATCATGCATATGTTCATGAATACTATGCAATGCAAGGAAAGTAATGGCAAAGCGCGTTGTTCCTGGGCGCACAATTTCAGTCCAACTCTTCTTCTTTCTCAACCGAGCTAACAACCATGAACGGTTGTACATGTGCCTTGTCACCGTTGATGCCTTAGTTGTAAGCTCATCTACATGATTCATCTTGGAAATTTCACTTAAGATTAGGTTCAAGCAATGAGCTACACATGAAGACCAATTTATAGATTTGTAAGTTGCATTTACAAGTCCTCTAGCAACTTTACAATTTGCTCCATTATCTATCACCATATGAACAACATTTGACACTCCCACCCACTCAATAACCTCTAGAAACAATTTAGAAAGAGGAGTAGCATCTTTGACAGCATCAAAGGCATCAATAGGTTGCACAAAAGCAATTCTCATAGAGCTATAAACAAGAAAATTTATTAGATTTCTTTGTCTACCATCAGTCCAATCATCGCCCATAATAGTACATCCACACACAGCCCACAAACTCTTCAAAATGTCAATATACAATTGAAGCTCTTTTTTTGAGTCTCTCAATAAAGGAACTTGAAGTTGATGGTAAGTAGAGACCTCATATCCTGGACCAATGGCAATTGCGGTAACAAACATGGGATGAAAATAAATGGAGTTCACAACATTGATTGGAATACAAATATCATAAAAGAATTTGCCAACAATCATATGTGCTTTATGTATGGCTTTTTTAGTTTGTAGGGCACTTTTGATAGTTGGTTGAGAACCCGGAGTAGTCCTTGGTGCAAAATAATCACCGATTTTTGTTGGTTCATCTTTTCTTCCCCTTACCTTTTTGTGTCATTGGTGCTTTACTCTTATTCCCACTTCCAGCTCCTTCAGGAATTGTTTCCACAACCTCATCATCCTCATCATCCTCATCATCAACATTAACGTAAACATCATCACCTTCAAATTGAAAACCACCTAGACCATAAGGATTTAATTGATCATAATTTTCTTCACTTTGCTTCTTCTTTTCATCAAATGCTTTCAAAGACTTGTGAATTTGATACCAAATATCTGGGAGAACTTTTTCACATGGCCCAACCTCGCCTGACTTCTTTGCAAGATGTTGTTTCATTCTATTAATCCTTTCACCTTTAATAGTTTTCCCACAATACATACATGAGTAAGTCTTCCTATTGACATCTCGTCCCTCGATAACATGTGCCTATGCAATATTAGATTTTTCCCTTGTGGATTGGGTGGAATTAGTTGTTGAATTCTGGCCAGATGACATCTCTTACAACTACAAGGTAGAGTAAGAACCAATGAAAAAAAGAAAAAGAAAAAAGAAAAAAAGTACTCATATTCAAATTAATATTCCAGAAAGTAGGATTCAAATTCAATACAATACAATATAATAATCATAATAAAAAAGTACTCCTATTCTGGCCAGAGACTCAATTAAAAAAAAAAAAGAAGGTTAGATTCAATACAATAATTAAATTAAGTGTAGTTCAAAATTTGAAAGTTAATTTTCTTCTAATTATTAGATGCATGCAGTAAAATAGGTAACAAGAAAAGGAGAATAATCAAAATTATTCATGGGTATCCAAAGCAAGAAAAAGGAAATCAAACAATTAATTTATTATGTCATGTGACAAAAAAAATGAGATTCTTTTTTTTTTTCCTATGACAATCTCTATGTTTCTATCTATCTATCTATCTATCTATAATCTATAGAATGAAAAAAAATAGAGGATTTTTTCGTATAATGCTAAACAAGAAGGAGATCAAATAGACAAAGATTAGTAGAGGATTTTTTTTTTTTTGTAATTTTCTGTGAGATAGTAAAAGGAAAACAGAAAACAGAGCCTTCTTCAACTAGACCCAAATTTTCTGAAAAACAAAGAAGGAGATCAAAGATTCATCAACTCCCTTAAGGCTCAAACCAAATCAAAGATCACTATGTAGCCCAACAAATTACACAAAAGTAGTACCTGGAGGCTGGAGGTTGAGATTCTTTGGCAGCAGTGGTGGTGAATCTATGTGTAAAGTTGAGAACTTGATTCGTTAATCACAAAAACAAATAGAGAGAGATAGATAGATCAGTTGCTTGACAGAGGGAGAGAGACCCATATGAAGAAGTGAAGAAGCCCTAGATGGCTGCTCTGGAAGATCAGAAATGAAAAAGAAAAATAGATCTAAATTTATCTTTTATATATATCATAAGCAAACTGAACCGGTTCAATTAATCCGTGAATGGGTCGACCCGGTTAAACCAGCGGTTTCACCGGTTCTCTTAAAATACACTGATTTTTATATTTGAACTGGTTAAGAGGGTCAACCAGACTGGAACCTTACCCGGTTACCGATTCAACAAGTTGAACCGGCCGGTCTGGTTTGAGTTTCAAAACCTTGCTTACAAGCTCAAACTTGAAGCTTTTGCTAAGATTCTTGAACACAATTTCAGCTCATTGAGAGTGTTTAGCTTGTGGTTTGTGAACTAAGAAAAACATCCTCCATTTCAAGAGGTGATCTTTGAACTCTTCAACCATCTTTTCTCTATTTTTTTCTTGTACTTTCATACTGATTTCAAAGTTATTTTTAAGCATAAAATGTAATTAAAATTTTGTTAAAAGTGAGTGAGCTAGCCACCCTTTTATTGGCTAGTTCACTTGTTGTGCACCCCTTTGTTCAAATTGTTGAAAATTGTTGAAATTATTGAAAAACTCTCTTTTCAATCATTTTTGAAATGTGGAAATGGATGTCTCATCCTTGTCCCATGAAGAAGAGGAGTTGTCAACAATTTTGGCAAGTTGTGTGCTTAAGCTTTGATAGATAGCTTGCTTTTCGTCTTTTTTTCCCTTACTTGCTTTGTTGCTCCTAAAGAGCTCTTTTGTGAGAAGTGTTAAAAACTCTCTCCTAGTTCCAAATTGAAGCATGGAAAGGGAAGTTTCATCCTTATTCCATGAGTAGGAAGATGAGTTGACAACACTTTTTAAGTTGTTATTTTTGTTCATTTTGGTTGCTTTATGATCATCGCGTACTATCTTGTGACTTGATGATTTATGAGTTAAGCATGTTTACCTCTTCCTTGAATAAGGTTTATGAGAGGAAGGAGGTAAGGAGCATAACACTTTTTTGTGTGTTTAGCCAAGTCTTTTTCTTTTGCTTTCAAAGATCATCATGCAACAACCTTGCTATGTTGATGATTTGGGAAACAAACCTACTCCGTCCTTGAAAATCCTCATAACAGGAGGGAGCAGGAAAGATGAACAGCTTTTAGAAACCCTCTGTTTTACTCTGTTCTAGTTCTGTTGCAGCAGGGTATTCTCCAGAAACAGTGCCAGGCCGACTATTATTCTGTATGGCTGACCACTTGATCAGGCCGATCAGCCAAGAATGTTGTACGACAGTGGTATTTTCTAGCAAAACATAGTAGATTTTTTAGAACAAAGCAGACCTATATTCTGACCATAAACAGAGCAGCTTTTGGCAGCAAATAAAGAGGTTTCTAGAGGATGTTCTTGCTTGTGCGCATGTGACTCACCGCTCATTCAAGTCTGTTAGATTATCTTCGAGATTCATATTATGTAATTAATTAGTTGTTTTCATTCGGAATTGTAATAATTAATTAGTTCATTCATTGGTGTTTGTAATAATTAGTTAATTAGGCCATTCAGACCCTCTTGTGCAAGGGCAAATTTGTAATATATAATATGTGTTTTCCAATCCCCATTTCTTTCTCTCTTTTATTTACATGCTTACCATGGTTGTACGTAGTATCACGTTTTTGTTTCATATCATTGCTATGCTTTGCATTCATTTTTGTATGCATTAAGGTTTGGTTCATCATTTTGAATATCATTGTCATTTTCTACTTGCTTGAATACGTGTGCTACCGCATGCTTTAAGTTAATTCATATGACATAATAAAGTCGAACCTAATAGTTGCATTCTTGTATGTGTTGTATTAGTCATGTGCATTGTTAAGGTCATGCGTTTTTATAATTGTTTTCTTTTCTTTGGCTTTAGCATATTCATATGTGTAATTGTTGCCATGCTTAGCATCTTGCCATGAGGCTATGTGTCTACTCAAAATGAACAGTTTGAATGCTTGTGGAAGAAGGGTATTTTACTTACATTGGGGATGATTTTAATCAAATGTATGTACGAGCTCATTTCTTTCATTTTGAGTTGTACGCACACAAAACTATTTTAAAAACAAATCATATAAAATCAAGTCATTTCTAAAGCAAGCGAAACAGTCTATACTTGTGTGCCTCACATAGTAAGTCAGCGTAATAAAATTATAACACGAGCATATAATATTGAAAAAAAATCATATCATTATTAGTAAAAGCCAATCTTTGATCGGGTGAGGGGACTGCTCAATTCATGACCTTTCCCTCTCATATCTAAGTTCCTGAACCGAGACAATTTTGGTTACAACGGATAAGTGGCCTTTGGCAAGAGTCACGGGTTTCCTAAATTCCTCAAAAATATTTAGGCGGTGACTCTGAAATCTGGCAATGCAGTCCATTTTTGGCATCTCTGATGATTAGTACATTTTCTAAGATTTGCCAGATTTTGACTCTCATTTGTTCTTTTTATTTCACAATGCACTTGCGAAACCAGATCCAGAACCATGGGAGTCCGAACTGTAGGGCTATTGTATCCGAGAAGACTAAACCCCTCCAAGGAGCATGAAAAAGCCAGCTACAGTTTCTGGCAACTTTATTGGGGATTTAGAGAACTTGACTCGAACTTCATGATGTGACGTTTTGTCTACATATATATGTTCTTTGCATTGCATTTGCATTAGCACTCTTAAGTCATTGTGTTTACTATCTGATAGCCTTGACGATTTGCCGAAGACTTACCAAAAGGCTAGTCAGACGTAGGCAATGTTACGTTGGGAACACAACCCTTGGATATGGATTACCACTATACCGCTTGATCCTCCTCTCACTTTTCGGTGTTAGGTGTGAAAGGTATATTAGGTAACCTTGCTGGGGTACCCTTTTCACCAATTGGCCTAGCGCATATAATTAAGCTCTAGTGACTGTTCCAACTTAAGAAAAGATGCTTACCTGTGTTCAGGATTTTGTGATCCCGCTTATTTGAAGTAGTAAAACTCTAGATCATGCCAAAGCTAGGACAGGGTAACCCTACCCCCTCATAGGGGTGTTTTGGCTCTCTTTACCTACTATGTGCCATACTCTGGATCTATACAGGGGTTCTTGAATTCAGATTACCGGTTCGATATCAGTTTGTGGGGCAGAATTTAGTTTTATCAGTAGGGAATACGGTCATACAGTTGTGATCATGTCTGTTGCAAATTTGGCCCAAGGTGCTGTCCGTTTTTTGATTATTGCTTTTCTTTTTCTTTATTTCTTTTCCTAGGTAGTCTTGAAATCATAGCTTCAGAGAGATCTGATATCCCTTAAGTTTTGTGGACTTACGCCGATAGGCTTTGCAAAATCTGAGATGTAATTGATGGTCAGCCAGTGTTAGTCTCTCTCCCACTAGTTGTTCGAAGGAGAAGAACCAGGCAATTATCACAAGCACAAAGCACTTATCAGTCACTCGTTCGTTGCCACCCATTCAGTTAACTAGTATCTGACTCGCCTAGATCTATAATGGCATAAAGTGTAGAAGAAGTCATGGCTATGATGACAGCATTCCAACAGGCCATGGATACACTGAACCAGAGGATAGCCATGCAAGATCAAACCATTGTTGAAATGCGACGTCCATCTGGGGCATTAGCATCTACCACACATCTAGTCCTAGCTAGCAACCAAATCTTGATCCACCTCTGCTAGCTGAAAACCTTCAAGTTCCAGATCCCCAAGAGGTGTTAGCATATGCTTTGGCTTTTAGGCCTCCAGCATAGCCTCACGATGGGCATCTTCCTTTCGACATTAATGACATCGATTCTATCATAATAAAAATCGCCAAGCTGGAGAAGATGCTTAAGAAATCTCAGGACTTCAATTCCATCCCGAACATTGAAGATGGTTATACTGAGGGTTCTATGAGATTGCCAAAGAAGTTCAAAATGCTGCACATTGACAGATTTGATGGAAGCAGAGATCCTATCGTCCACATCCGTCTTTTCTCGGATATCTTAAAATCAATGGTTTTGACGTGGGCTCAGAAATTGTCATTATT